ACTAAATGCTGGTTGGCAGATAACGGGCTCCTGTTATACTGAGCATGCCCCTGGAGGCTGGAATATTTGCAGTTCCAAAAAGCAATGAAATGTTCTGACTGGATAACCATTATTTGGGGAAGAAACAAGGGAACTGTGGTGCCTGATACAGGAGAAGTTGAAACCTATAGTAAGGCTGTGGGCCTACCCTTCTAGGTAGCTAGGGGGAGCTCTAGCTTCAATTGTTAGGCATAGGCTGAGTAGCAGCCTGGTGCAATAGTCAGAGGGAGGTCAAATTTGGGTCAGAGCTGAGAGGCTCTGCAGAACAGTCCCTCTGGAATTTCCCCCTGCTCTAGAACTTTGGAGAAAGGTCTAGAAGCAGTGGGGGAATCTGAGGAGTTGCTAGCTTGTACTCTTAAGGGATCCTGTCCAATACCCAACAGGAGGCTTGGCAAGGGCCCAGGACAAGCCTTAGAAGTGAGAGAGTCTGCTCAGCTGCAGGAGAGTTCAGGATGAAGATGGAGAAATAGGCTGAAGTGCAGGATCCTGGGAGGGGGCCCAGATGGGAGAGGGGCTCACCTAAAGGCGGGGAGCTGGACAGGAAGAAAGCTTGCACCCTCACCAGCCCCCTGAGAGAGGGGAGGTGAGGGCAGGTACACCGAGAGATGCTGACTAGATCTACAACAGAGTCTGTGTTGCAGTGGACTTTTTAAATAGTTCCAGGAAGTTGTCATCAGTTCAACGGGTCCATTGGGCATCCCATATACCTCTTTTCCAATTCAAGTTGATACTTACTTACTAAAATATCACAAACAAGCTCAAGGACTGATTTTTGACTCCTGGATTCAAGGCTGTGAGAAATGTGTGTTGCCTGGCAGTGCAGGACTATAGAGGGACCCAAAACTTCAGCAACTCCTAGAGGGGTAGTGCTACTGTCAGGGTCCTGTCCACAACAGAAGTTCTGGAAGATCTGGCATTTCTGCCAGTACCCTGCATGGCCACAGAAGCACACATCAGCCTCAGTTTGGTGCCAGACAGCCTTTATAAGGAGGCTCATCACTTCCTCTGGTTGCTGGATGATCTCTAGCTCCCCGTGCCCTGTTCCTGTTTCCTGTGATTGTGACCTGTGATTTCCTGATACCGACTCGGCTTGCTCCTGGACCTGTCTACTCTGATTAGCCCCTGACCTGACCTCGGCTTGGCTTACGGATACTCTCTCTTTTTCTCGTTCCTCTGTGAATGACCTCGGCTCTCCCATCTGACTACGTCTGCTCTAATTCCCACCTGGTACCTGACCTTGGCTTGAACCGGCTATCCAGTAAATCTCTAAATCCCGGAAGGGCTTGCATACCACGCACAGGCGCCTCCTGTCTGCAGACCTATCTCCGTGCACCAGCTGTGCTTCTGAGTGGAACCAACCGGCACTCCTACAGGCGACCTGTGCCACTTTGGGCCTGACTCCCGCTGTCGCACTCTCAGGGGAGTCCGGAACTTAGCCGCAAGGGAAGCTCTCTCTCCATTGGCCTCCATCACCAGGTACATGATAGTTACACGTATCTTAACATGGACAAGATGGTTGACCCTTCCCTGTAGGAGAGTCAGCAACCCCAAACCCCTCATGCTTTACAGGGTTGCTTAGTCCAGCATGAGTTCCTAGTTCCTTGGACTCCCATCCACGACCCAAGGTGAATTCAAGCAGTGTTGGTCAATGTTCTTGATATAGGGGGCCAATGACATCAAGCACCTTCATGACATAATATTCAGTTAACTCTAATAATACAGAACATTGTCAGAGACTGCAGACATGCTTTACGAGATGGTCAAAGACTGGGAACATGCTGGAGTTGTTGGAGGCTGAGGACGAGTTTTGGGAGACAACCAGAGCCTGGAGATGTAATACATGAGAATGCTAGAGATCAATGCTAATAGAGCCCCTTCACAAATCAATGTCTGCATACACATTTGTGCTCCCTACATCCCCCTGAAAATACCCAAAGAGAAAAAACAGGGGCTCCAAGAAACACGCTGTAAGTGCCAAGGGACCACATGTGGCCCCTCCTCGCAGGTCACAGATTGGGCACCAGGACTCTAAAGAACATGGAAAGCTCTGATGGACTCCAGCTTTTGTGTAATCATTTCATTGAATCCTAAAAATCCCATTAGTTGTTTTTTGATACATAATGTTCACACACAGCACAGCCTACATGATCAAGGACAAGCTCTTGTTGTAGTGCACTTTGCTGTCTTGCTGAGAGACTGATGTGTCAAGACATCCAGAGTCCCTAGGAGAAGGACAAAACCCTCATCTATTGCTGGCTCAAGATGGAAACCTTTGCTGGTCCACAATGGACTTCTTAAGATCAAGGCCCAACATTGTCAGTGGTGGGAGACCTTTGGGCCACCATCTTGTCTTTCTTCAGTTGAGCATTCCACCGCAGGATCAGGACCTCAGTGCTGGTAGGACTGTATTGCAGTGTATCAGTTCAGTGCTCCACCACAGGATCAGAGTCCCAACACCAGCAGGACTGTATTGCAGTGTATCGAATCCCACTGGCCAAAACATTGGAATACACAAGGCCTTTTGCTTGTAGTTTAGGCCGTTGCACAGAGAGAGGCCATCCTCCCCGCCTTTGCTTGTCCGCGCTCCCTGGGAGCACGCAGCACCGCGATCCGGTGCCCGCTGTGTCCTCTGGACACAATGGAACACCGATTGTCATACGGGGACCTCTGTGCGAAGTCCCAATCATGTGATCACTGATTGGCCAATCAGTGATCACATGCAGAATAGTAAGCAAGATGTCACTTCTGACATCATTGCTTACTACGTGTGAAATCTGTGAATGATCACAGAGATCACATGGTACAGGGCCATTCACAACAGCCTTGTACCATGTGACAAGCTGTGACCAATCACAGCTCACACAGTATTTCTCAATGGCTGCAGGAATGCAGCCAGAGAGAAGGAGAAATGATTGCTTTTACAGCCTTTATGGGTGTAAAAGCAATCAGTGTAAAAAAAAAATCTTCATCACCCCCCCACAAGTAGTACAGTGTCACCATGGTAACACTGTACTGCTAGGGTGACAGTATGTAAAAAAAACCCCCAAAAATAATAATATAAAAAAATAAAATAAAAATGTAAAAAAAAATGTTTAAAAATTATAATTTTTGGTTATAAACTAATTTGGTTTATTTTCTTTTTTACTAAAAAGATAACTGAATACATTTTGGCCAATATTTATGATGAAATATTATTTATTTGCAAAATTTTATAAGAAAAATACTTTTTTTAAACATTTTTGGACTTTTTCATTTACATAGCAAAAAAAATAAAACTCTGAGTAGTGAATAAATACCACCAAAATAAAGCTTTATCTGTCTCAAAAAACTGCTAAAAATTCATCTGGGTACAGTGTTGCATGACCGCGCAATTGTCATTCAAAGTGTGATAGCGCTGAAAGCTGAAAATTGGCTTGGGGGCAGGAAGGGGGGAAAGTGTCCGGACTGGAAGGGGGGGTGAAAGTGTCCGGACTGGAAGGGGGGGAAAGTGTCCGGACTGGAAGGGGGTGAAAGTGTCCGGACTGGAAGGGGGTGAAAGTGTCCGGACTGGAAGGGGGTGAAAGTGTCCGGACTGGAAGGGGGGGAAAGTGTCAGGACTGGAAGGGGGGGGGGAAAGTGTCTGGACTGGAAGGGGGTGAAAGTGTCCGGACTGGAAGGGGTGAAAGTGTCCGGACTGGAAGGGGGGAAAGTGTCCGGACTGGAAGGGGGGTGAAAGTGTCCGGACAGGAAGGGGGTGAAAGTGTCCGGACTGGAAGGGGGGGAAAGTGTCCGGACTGGAAGGGGGTGAAAGTGTCCGGACAGGTAGGAGGTGAAAGTGTCCGGACTGGAAGGGGGTGAAAGTGTCCGGACTGGAAGGGGTGAAAGTGTCCGGACAGGAAGGGGGGGAAAGTGTCCAGACTGGAAGGGGGGAAAGTGTCCGGACTGGAAGGGGGTGAAAGTGTCCGGACAGGAAGGGGGGGAAAGTGTCCAGACTGGAAGGAGGGGAAAGTGTCCGGACTGGAAGGGGGGAAGTGTCCGGACTGGAAGGGGGTGAAAGTGTCCAAACAGGAAGGGGGGGAAAGTGTCCGGACTGGAAGGGGGGGAAAGTGTCCGGACAGGAAGGGGGGGAAAGTGTCCAGACTGGAAGGGGGGGAAAGTGTCCGGACTGGAAGGGGGGGAAGTGTCCGGACTGGAAGGGGGGGAAATGTCCGGACTGGAAGGGGGTGAAAGTGTCCGGACTGGAAGGGGGGGAAAGTGTCTGGACTGGAAGGGGGGGAAAGTGTCCGGACTGGAAGGGGGGGAAAGTGTCCGGACTGGAAGGGGGGGAAAGTGTCCGGACTGGAAGGGGGGGAAAGTGTCCAGACTGGAAGGGGGGAAAGTGTCCGGACTGGAAGGGGGGGAAGTGTCCGGACTGGAAGGGGGGAAAGTGTCTGGACTAGAAGGGGGTGAAAGTGTCCGGACAGGAAGGGGGTGAAAGTGTCCGGACTGGAAGGGGGGGAAAGTGTCTGTACTGGAAGGTTGTGAAAGTGTCCGGACTGGAAGGGGGGGAAAGTGTCCGGACTGGAAGGGGGGAAAGTGTCTGGACTGGAAGGGGGTGAAAGTGTCTGGACTGGAAGGGGGTGAAAGTGTCCGGACTTGAAGGGGTTGAAAGTGTCCGGACTGGAAAGGTTGTGAAAGTGTCCGGACTGGAAGGGGGTGAAAGTGTCCGGACTGGAAGGGGTGGAGTGTCCGGACTGGAAAGGGGTGTCCGGACTGGAAGTGTTCAGACTGGAAGGGGGGGTGAAAGTGTTCAGACTGGAAGGGGGTGAAAGTGTCCGGACTGGAAGGGGGGGAAAGTGTCTGTACTGGAAGGTTGTGAAAGTGTCCGGACTGGAAGGGGGGAAAGTGTCCGGACTGGAAGGGGGTGAAAGTGTCTGGACTGGAAGGGGGTGAAAGTGTCTGGACTGGAAGGGGGTGAAAGTGTCCGGACTGGAAGGGGTTGAAAGTGTCCGGACTGGAAGGTTGTGAAAGTGTCCGGACTGGAAGGGGGTGAAAGTGTCCGGACTGGAAGGGGTGGAGTGTCCGGACTGAAAGGGGTGAAAGTGTTCAGACTGGAAGGGGGGGTGAAAGTGTTCAGACTGGAAGGGGGTGGGAAAGTGTCCGGACTGGAAGGGTGGGAAAGTGTCCGGACTGGAAGGAGGGGAAAGTGTCCGGACTGGAAGGGGGGGGAAGTGTCCGGACTGGAAGGGGGGGAAAGTGTCCGGACTGGAAGGGAGGGAAAGTGTCCGGACTGGAAGGGGGTGAAAGTGTCCGGACTGGAAGGGGGGGTGAAAGTGTCCAGACTGGAAGGGGGTGAAAGTGTCCGGACAGGAAGGGGTTAAAGTCTGTATTGTTGCATTATATTTACCCTTTCTGTCTCTCAGGGCTTTGTCCATGTTAATAAAGCTCATTTAAAAGTGTTAAGTTATGTTGGTGTCACAAAGCTCCAGGTACAGGATGGGTCATCACTGGTGCAGAGCGAAGAGACCCAATCAATCCAGCAGCTCCTGCAAGGGCAGCGCTCTTCTCGTTTATTGCCAGGTCGGAGTATGTAATTGCCCGATCCGCGGACTCGAGTTCATTTGGAGACAAATACAAAACGCATTTGCTGACTTTGCCGTAATGGTAATCCCCGGATTGTAATAACCATCCCTTGTTGTCGGGAATTGCGCTTTAATCCTCCATCAGCTCTCAGTTTTGTATTCTGACACAATGTACAACATGATTTGTGAGATCGTTCTTTCAAATAAAGCAAGATTAGGAAATGGATTATCCTCACTTGTATTGCCACTTCCTGTCCCCATGACAACAAAAGGAAAAATGACTTTGCTCATTATCAGAAAGGGTGTCACTGAACAGCATATGAGCGTCTGAATCACAAATAAACCCACAAAGACCTAATTAAAGTCGAACTACGGCCTCCCATTACAAAAAATCATTTAAATATAAACACATCTGCACTTATTCGTTCATCTACAAAGCCCTACGAATACCTAGTTATCCTGCCGGTAAAGTCCACCAGTTCCTGTGAAAGGGTGACAACAGTGCTGCACTGCTCCTGAATTCAGAGCAGAGTTGTCACCCTCATGTAGGGTGCAATACAATAAAAAAAAAAGTCAGGGGCACAATGTCAGCACTGCGTGTGAGGCACTGACAGTCTGTCCCAGGATCTGGGGAACACCATTATGCATTTGATTGTCAGTAGATTAGGGTGATTAAACAAAACCTGTCCCCCCTTATATCGGAGTCCCCCTTTACATCAGAAGTACTCATCAGAGTCCCCTGTTACATCAAGTTCCCATCAGAGTGTCCCCTTGCATCCATGATCCCATTATAGCATCTCCTTAGATCCATGTCCCCATCAAAGTGTCCCTTTACATCAGGTGTCCCCATCAGAGTGCCCCCTTACATCCGTGTCCCCATCAGAGTGCCCCCTTCCATCCGTGTCCCCATCAGAGTGCCCCCTTACATCCTTGTTCCCATCAGAGTGCCCCCTTACATCCGTGTTCCCATCAGAGTGCCCCCTTACATCCGTGTCCCCATCAGAGTATCCCCTTACATCCGTGTTCCCATCAGAGTGCCCCCTTACATCCGTGTTCCCATCAGAGTGCCCCCTTCCATCCGTGTTCCCATCAGCCTTCCCCCTTACATCCGTGTCCCCATCAGAGTATCCCCTTACATCCGTGTTCCCATCAGAGTGCCCCCTTACATCCGTGTCCCCATCAGAGTATCCCCTTACATCCATGTCCCCATCAGAGTGCCCCCTTACATCAAGTTTCTCCCATCAGCATTCCCCCTTACATCAGGTGTCCCCATGAGAGTGCCCCCTTACATCCGTGTCCCCATCAGAGTGCCCCCTTACATCCGTGTCCCCATCAGAGTGCCCCCTTACATCCATGTCCCCATCAATGTGCCCCCTTACATCAGGTGTCCCCATCAGAGTGCCCCCTTACATCCGTGTCCCCATCAGATTGCACTCTTACATCTGTGTCCCCATTAGATCATCCCCATATATCACGGTCCCCATCCGAGTGCCCCCTTACATTCTGTGTCCCCATCAGGGTATCCCCATTACATCCATGTCCCCATTAGAACGTCTTTTTACATCTGTGTCCCCATTAGAGTGTCCCCCTTACATCCGTGTCCCCATCAATGTGCCCCCTTACATCAGGTGTCCCCATCAGAGTGCCCCCTTACATCCGTGTTCCCATCAGATTGCACTCTTACATCTGTGTCCCCATTAGATCATCCCCATATATCACGGTCCCCATCCGAGTGCCCCCTTACATCCTGTGTCCCCATCAGGGTATCCCCATTACATCCATGTCCCCATTAGAATGTTTTTTTTACATTCTGTGTCCCCATCAGGGTATCCCCATTACATCCATGTCCCCATTAGAACGTCTTTTTACATCTGTGTCCCCATTAGAGTGTCCCCCTTACATCTGTGTCCCCATCAAAGTGCCCGATCACATCAGGTGTCCCCATAAAAGTGCCCCCTTACATCAGGTGAGGTGAGGGGGAGCAGACACCGCTCAGAACCACCCCTAGGAGTCAAATGTGCTGAGTGTATGGAGTGGCTTTGCTCTTTGTTCTGACTTGCTGTCCATCATAAAATATCAGACGTGGTACCGCACGTGGTCAGAATAGCACCAGTCCCACAGCTCCCGATGTGCACAGGACGGTGTCCTTTGGCACACTGACTTATGATGGCCCGTGCTCCCTGTGACTGTGCGTGCAGTCTTGTGCTGCCATCTGTTGTCCTGTTACAAAACTAGTCTCCAAACTTTTGGATACCATCTCATATCTACTTGACGCAACCCAATCTTTTTGAATTTTACCACACAATTAGGTGCGATATTGTGGGGGGAGGGGGGGGGGATGCACTAAAAATCATTTTAGTATATTTTTTTCCTGAAAATCTGCATTTTAGAAATAGCTGCACAAATATCACGAGACAGAAACAAAATGCAAGTACCGCCCTTTTATTTTCCAGCTCCTCTGCTTTCAGAAGACAGACATATCCCTTTCGATGGGTTCGCAGTTATTTCTAGGAAGCGATGCTGATTTTACATGTGCGCAAAAGTAAAAAAAAAACTCCCCAGTAGGCAAGCGGCTAACCGGTTCCACGCCGCCCTATAGAAGAAATACTGCTACAGGGCGGCACGGGTGCGCAAAATCACATATACAGTATTTGCGTGACTGCAGTTCTGGGCAGGTGATGCGTGCCCTACCCGGTCTGCCATTTGCAGCCTTGGCTGTCAATCACTGGGTCCCAGCTAGTGATTCCCCTCCGCCCGGCGATCGCCGAGTATCACTGATGGGGGAGAGACCTGTGTATAAACAACACTTACCTCTCCCCTGTCAGCTCCTGCACACTGCTTTGTATGCCTCTGCATAGCAGCATGCATACAGTGAAACACTCCCAGCACACAGGTAACCCTTTGATCTCCCCTCATGTTAACCCCTTCCTGCCCAGTGCCATTAGTACAGTGTCTGGCTTTTTATTAGCACTGATCTCTGTATTGGTGTCACTGGGGATGTCAGTGACACCAAATCAGTCCCCCCCTCAGTGTCAGAATGCCCACCGCAGTCCCGCTATAAGTCGCTGATCGCCGCCATTACTAGTAAAAAAAAAAAATCCCAGTATCTATCCCGCCATTTGTAGACGCTATAACTTTCACATAAACCGATTAATTTACACATATCGGGATTTATTTTTAGTAAAAACACAGAGCGGGAGACATTTTGGCCGAAATTTATGATGAAGTTTTTAATATTAACATTTTTTTTACTGGATGTGTTTTAAAGCAAAAAGTCAAAAATATATTGTTTTTTTCTCAAAATTGTCGGTCTATTTTTGTTTATGGCGCAAAAAATTTAAAAACCACAGAGACAGTCAAATACCACTGAAAGAAAGATACTTAGATTGCATAACTATGAGAATTATTATAACCAAATGGACGTTCCATTTCCCTGCTTGCAAAGTTATGACACAATATTATTATTATTAATTATTATTATTATTATTATTATTAATTATTATTATTATTATTATTATTATTATTATTTTTGTATTATTATTATTATTAGAGATGAGCGAATCGAACTTGGCGAAGTGGAATTAGTTTCGAATATTAGGAAAAATTCGATTCGCATCGAATCCGAATTTTAGCAAACTTCGGATGCACGAATCGAATTTTCCCCGATCAGCCGGCAAAAGTGTCACTGCAGAGAGCTCCGCTATTTCTGACAGTTCTCTGACAGTTCTGACAGTTCATTTACAGCGGTTGAAACATTGTATCTATTTGTTTCCATTTAGGATACAGATGTTTTTATTCGGAAATAAATAGATACAATGTTTCAACCGCTGTAAATGTGAAGGAACTGTCAGAGAACTGTCAGAAATAGCGGAGCTCTCTGCAGATACACTTTTTGCTGTACTGGAATTCTTCTTCTTTTCATTCTTCTTCTTCTTTTCATTCTTCTTCTTCTTTTCTTTTCTTCTTCTTCTTCTTCTTTTCTTCTTCTTCTTCTTCTTCTTCTTCTTCTTCTTCTTTTCTTTTCTTCTTTTCTTCTTCTTCTTCTTCTTCTTTTCATTCTTCTTCTTCTTCTTTTCATTCTTCTTTTCATTCTTCTTCTTCTTCTTTTCATTCTTCTTCTTCTTCTTTTCATTCTTCTTTTCATTCTTCTCATTCTTCTTTTCATTCTTCTTTTCATTCTTCTTCTCATTCTTCTTTTCATTCTTCTTCTTCTTCTTTTCATTCTTCTTTTCATTCTTCTCATTCTTCTTTTCATTCTTCTTTTCATTCTTCTTCTCATTCTTCTTTTCATTCTTCTTCTTCTTCTTTTCATTCTTCTTCTTCTTCTTTTCATTCTTCTTTTCATTCTTCTTCTTCTTCTTTTCATTCTTCTTTTCATTCTTCTTTTCATTCTTCTTCTCATTCTTCTTTTCATTCTTCTTCTTTTCATTCTTCTTCTTCTTCTGTTCATTCTTCTTTTCATTCTTCTTCTTCTTTTCATTCTTCTTTTCATTCTTCTTCTTCTTCTTTTTTATCTTCTTCGTCGTGCCCCGTGACTGCCCAAATGAGTGAAGTGTGCGGTGATTCTAAGATCGACGGCACTCATCTGCATGTCATACTGACTGACAGTATTATTTCTCTTCCCCAGCAGACTCCAAGGGCATTTAAATTAAAGGTACAGTGTTCTGCACTAATATAAAGGCTCTCTGAAGCCTAGAAACCCTTTTAATAAGTTAAATTCGCGGCGAATAAATTCGCATCGAATCAAATTT